AAAAAAAAAAAAAAACCCCAAAACCCCCCAAAAAACGTCCCAACCCATGTTGTCTTCTTCTTTCTCCTCTTTCTTGTTAGGAGCTCTTACTCGAGCTAACTTTCACCAGTTGATGGTATATAATCAAAAGAGAAGAAATAGACTTCCTGCTCAGTATGATATGAATATTAAGGTGCTGCAGCAGAGCCATTGCAATTCAATTCAATCTCTGCTGGCTGCTTCAGTATCTGACGGTCTAATCTCTGCTATTAACTTGGGTGTGCGATAGAGTTATTAGGGTTCAGTAGCGTTAGAGCTTTGCACAATTCACTTTCCTCTGTACAATCTTTCTCCTTTTCTTTTTTGGGTCAAAGCTACTAAGTGTTGGTGGGGGGAGGTTTGGGCTGACCCCAACCTGTTCATTTCATTCAGCAGAAGTACAAGGAGGTAGGATGTACAATCATTCTTCTCTTAACTTTTTCTTACTGTTCTAGATTTTGAATTTGTTCCCAAAAATTTTTAGTTTAAATTTATGTATAGTATCTAAAAGTTCCTGTGGTGGAAGGTTGCAGTTTTGGTCCCTCAATTATTAGTCCTACTACAGATAAATGTTTCAAGATTCAGTGTTTTTTAATTATTAAATCATGAGATTACTCATTTTATGCCTTGGAGAATTTTTGGTACCTTTTGTTTTATAATAATATCTTTTGCATTTGCAGAAATTTGGTAATGGAGGGGACCAATAGCTGACGGTATTATTAATAAAAGGATCTAAATGTTTCAAGTGTCAAGTATGCCAGAAATCAAAATTAGAATTTGCCATAATAAAAGCACATTTATCCCTTCTATGTATTTCTTTTGCTTTAGACAGAAATGTAAGAAGGAAAAAGAAGGAAAGAAGCTTTTCTGAACAATTAGTTTTTTGTCCAGGTAGTATCAGATCATAATGTATTTCTTTGATCCTAAAGTGGACTTTCTGGCATATTATATCGCGGTCATACGAGTAATGATACAGGTTTAAAAGTTTTCTTTAGACACGTGACACAATCTTTTGATTCCCCATCTTGCTTGGACTGAGACATAGTAGTTGTTGTTCTTCTGCACATTTTTCTGATTAATGGTCAGATATTGTGGTAATTAGAAAGTAGAATGTGCAAGCACAGATTGGGTTCTCATATTCTAGGCCTTACTTACTGTTTTTAAGGTGTAACCTGATACTTCTGCATCCCCACGTGATGCAGAAGCTAGTAGCTGATAGAGAGTAGCTGTTGGAGGTCTATAGTGAGGTTATGGGTTCACGACGATCAGCAAAACTTCTCCGTGCGTCAGGAGCTGTGTTTAAGTTAATTTATGTCTATTCTAATCTTGTAAATTTATTTGTCTGTTTTAATTCTAGTAAACTGTTAGCTTATTTTTAGTCTAGGTGTCTATCAGAAGCTCTAAGAGTGTTTAATTCCTTATCCAAGATCAAAGAAGGAACTCCTCATTAAGCAAGAACCGTAACTAAGAACGGAGCAGTTCAATTTTGGGTACAGGAAAAACTCTCCTAGAACAATCTGTTTTCATCGAATTTTTCCAATTGATCAGAACGGCTAGTCTGAAGTCTAATAAATTTCAATGAGTCACTCAGTCATTTTGCCAAGTGAGTAATTATTTCCAGCTTATTATCATTGGCCTTCAGGTGATCATTCAACTGTGTCGTACTACTTGGAAGTCTTACACTGTATCCAGCCTCTTGAGCAAATTATGAATGACACTATGTTTTGCTTGATTGTGTTGTCCTGATCCATTGTGAAAGGTGGGTTTCTATGAAAACTGAATGGTATTTCCACTGGTGCTTTTCCTTCTCCCCTTTTTCTATTGTTTTCTGCCCCACTTCTGCAACTTAATCCTTTCTATATTTGCGGTAATTGTTTTGCTACTTCTTTTTTCTTTTCTTTTTCCCCTCTACACTGCTCAATGTTTTCTTTGCTTGACCTAAGGTATTGCCTTCTCCTTCTTCAAACTAGCAGGAATGAGAAGCCATGTCCAGCTACTGGGCTTGCACATATCTCCCTGCTGTATTTTGCAGCTATTCTTGAGCCATAAGTTAGCTTCAAGATGGTGAAGGAATTATACCAGCAAATGTAACAATTAAAGTTAATAAAGTGCTTAATTAGTACAGTAGTGTTTGACAGTCCAATGCTGATACTTAACTTGCTGTCGCAATGATCCCAAATTTCTGCTCTGTCCTTAACTAGCTGAAATTGAAACCAGATATGCAGGAAGGAAGGATTCACAGATCCTCTCTGTCCTTAGCTAGCTGGAACTGTAACGAGATACGAACTCCGGTTTAGGTCTCAGTGCTACAGGTCTGGGGACAGAAGTAGAGATTCAGCTCAGTAAAATCTGTTGTTCGAGAAGACAACAACAAGAACAACAATAACAAACCCAGTGAATTCCTTCTAGTGTTGTTCGAGAAGGAACTCTAGAAATTAGTTTCATGAAGAGATTCACTTATTGCAATATTTATTTACTACATGAGTGATAAAGCATGCGAAAACTTGTGGTTTGTCTTACTTTTGCAGGAATCTAGATCTTTCCGTATGAAACATCACTAATCTGTTGGATACATGGCAAGCTGTTAACTGAGATCTCAGTTGAGGGTTCTGATGTTGAAGTTATAGAAACGAAGGTTGACTTTGCTATACTTAGCCGCTTTGTCTTAGGAATAATAGTATAGTTCTGTATAGGATTAAACGTTTCTCTTATATATATAATAGGTCATGGTATTGAACTTTGTTTTTCTTTCCCTTGTGAGTCTGTTTTATGTGATTTGCTTCTCTTTATTTGGTGTAGTTTAATTGGTTAGGTGTAATGGATGCTGGAGGAAGAAAAAGAGACAGGTAGAAAGCCAAGATATAATGCTTAATTAAGATAACAATGCAAAGCCCGTCACTGGTAATTTACCATAGATGTAATTTTGTTTTTTGTTACCCTGGTAAAGCGGTCATGATTTTATTTTTGTGAGGTTATCTTTGTTGGTTGAGTTTATTTTTGGTGACCTGATGTAGAGCGGAATTGTAAGACGACATTTTCTTAGGGCATGAGGGAGTAAAAATGGAGTTTTAGGAAGTTCCAGGCTCCTTTAGCTATGTGTTGTGTCCATGTAGCTTGTAGCAAAAGTTTCAGAATATAGTGAATGGCTTTTTCTCTGCTCATGAGTCCCTGGTTTGTTGTCAAGACACATAATGTGTGTAAGTTTGATGTAGAAGTGAAATTGGTCTCGCTTTGAGGCTTCATTCTTGGAACGACATGAAAGAAGAGCTCGAATAATTTGCAGATGGTCCTCACTCCTCACCAAGGAATTAACTGCTACCCTGTTTCCCTTGTGTTTTCTACTTGCACAAGTATCTTTTGGAAGCCTGGCAGGTCTAGCCGCTGAGCAATTGTTGGTGTTTTTTCAATCATTTTTAAGGAGAAACACACTTGAGCTTCTAGTTTCAAGGATTTTATTGTTGATAGTGTTCCTAAGCGAGATTGATTTTCATTTAATTTATGTAGGGATAACATTCAGTTCAATATTGCGCTCCTCTATTTATTGCTTTGTATCCTGGAATAGAGCAAAAGGCAATTGTGATCCTGCCAATATCAAAATTGAGAAGGGAGCATGCATGCGGTGTGAAGTTTCAATTTTGAGCTCCATGTAGCATGTGATCTCATTAAAACATGCATGCAGTCAATCCACTGTAAACTGTAAAGTTTTGTGATTTTACTGCTACAGTTACTTTGTAAAATTTTCCTACATACCATTTCGTTTTTGCACTTCTAACTTCCAAGGAATAAATACAACACCCATTGACCTTCAATTCCTGCCATTCACTGAACTTGTTTTCTCATTCTTTAAAGGAGCCTTACATCCAAATTCCAATCCTATGGTTTGATAAATAAAATTGTCTACCAAATATAAGGTGTTTAGTCAATTCTTGAAATTGAACTAGAATTTTGTAATTGACAGGAGCATGATAGTTAACTTTATTAATTATTACCCCCTTAATTCTTACTCTCAAGCGCCATACATGGACTTTTGACAGAATTTGGAAGGAGAAAAGGAAAGGAAAGAGTTTATGGTGAGTGAATTCTTACACTATGACATCATCTAAAAGACAACTACACAAGTAACTATGCAAGCAGTCGCTGAAATTCAATATATATATATATATATATATATATATATATATAGCCTCAGTACAGCAACTGCGTTAGAAATTAAGTTGTAGAAGCCATGGCGTTAAAGAGAAGCAGAGAAGAAGAATCAGTATCAGTCACTAGGACGTAAAATCTTTGAGTGCAAGAAACAGTTTGATTCGTTTCAAGCACTTACCCATTGAGCCCAAGAAACACGAATGCTCCTTTTGCGGCCGACTTATCTTTGGGTGGACACATGAGTAAAGAGGAGTGAATGAATAGTGATCAAGCAGCATAATTCGAATCTACTTGACTGGGAATCTATTTCTTAAGTAATTAGCCATATGTGCACTTACTCATCACTCAAAAGATTTGGAGTTGGAAAATACTTAATCTAATTATTTTCTCGAAATATCATTCAGTATGCAATTATTCATTTATGTAAAGTTTGTACATGGACGGGGTGTGGGCTAAAAATTATCATAATTATATGTGGGCCTAACCAGTATTAAGAAGGCCTTTGAAGGCCGCTGCGTGTCATCAATTCAATCTCGACAGAGGATGAAGGCGAGGTCGAGGACTCAGCGGAGGTCGAAGACGAGGACGAGTACTCCCTTTAGCAGAGCAGTAACGATTAGTTTTAGAAATAAGACTTTACTAAGAATATTCCAGTGAATATTCCTGTACTATTAGAGTTTTTGTGGTCCATGTGCCCTTATAAATAGAAAGATATGTAGCTATAGGGGGGATGAAACACTCATTGTAAAAAATAACACATTTACATTCTCTTAAGATTCTTGCTTTATCATACACATACAAAATACACCTTTTCTTCAGATCTTTATCTATCCTTTCTCCCACGATCCAAGGAGAATCCAAATAATAAAGGCTTATTAATCATTTGTCGTCGTCAGAAAGAATATCAAAGAATCTCACCCTTTTCGGGTGACTCACATGCTTTTATTCAAATAAATGCCATTTATTGCTATTTACTGTTATTTAGTGCTACTTACTTTATTTTTGGATCATTGAATATAGCATTATTGTCGCCATTTATTTCTACTCAAATAGTATCCGTGGTATCTCGCTACAAAATAGGTTAATCTATCTTTTGGATATTAATATTAGCTAAGATTAACTCTATTTTATAAGAAAATCTAATTGTTTAAACTTAGATCTAAATTTTGGGTCAAACAGACAATATATAATCCTTCTTTTTTATTTGGGTTGTGGGGTGTGGGGGGAGGTTTACACTATTAGGTTTAGGAGAATATTTCTCATATGAACTCTCAAACTTCTGATACAATACAATATTGTTGGGCTCAACAAGCTCAAAATACTTTAAATATGGTATGATATTTTTTACTTTGGGTCAAGTCTGTACGGTTTTGACTAAAAGGTTTCTACACCTTATATGTAGGTTCCCAATCTTTTCAACTACCAAAGAAAAATTTTGTTTGCACATCCAACGATAATCTTTCCCTCGAACTAAGTTCCATGTAGCCCATTATCACGATCCACAGGTCAAATTTTAAGATTCACTGTGTGTGACCCATATCGTTAGAGTACTATAAAAACCGAAGCCTGCTACAAGCTTCTTCTTGTTTATGTGCACTTACTGATCCCTCAAAAGATTTTGGAGTTGGAAAATACATAGTCTAATTATTTTCTCAAAATATCATTGAGTATGCAATTACTCATGTATGTAAATTTTGTACATGGATGGTATATTTCTTTTTTATATGGGTTGGGTGGGGTATTGGGGGGGGGGGTTTACACTGTTAGGTTTAGGAGGAGATTTCTAATATCAGCTCTCAAACTTCTCATACAATACAGTATTGTTGGGCTCAACAAGCCCAAGATATTCTAAATATATAGTGATATTATTCGTTTTGGTCTAAATCCGTACGGTTTTTCCAAAAGGTCTCACATCATTAAGAGATCCCTACACCTTATATGTAGGTTCCCAGTCTTTTCAGCTACCAAAGTGAGACTTTGTTCGCACACCCAACAATACTCTTTCCCTCGAACTAAGTTCCATGTAGCCAATTATTACGATCCACGGGTCAATTTTCGAGATTCACTGTATGCTATCACATCTTCAGAGTATTAAAGAAACCGAAGCCCGCTATAGCTTCTTCTTGTCTATGTACCCGCAACTAGACTCTTCTAATTTGTGTACTTTTCTAGACTCGTAAGGTGATGTTTGGCGATTATTTAATATTTTATGACATTACTTGCCTTGCATTTTAAGGATTTAATGATAAGTGTGATGCTTGAGACTAATTGAGTTGGTTATATATATAGGAACTTTGTAATGCAAAGTAGGAAGGAAGTTGCACAAAATAGCATTGAAGACGTGGAAGTAGAGCACGAAAGGGAAGTCGGCACATGGCACGATAAATTCAGAGCCCCAGACGGTGCCCCACTTCACCAATGGTGCCAAACCTGCCGCACCTCATAGCGCCTCGCGATACCAGAGTTGTGCCCCAGACGAAGCCTAGCAAGATCCAGCCAGTGCCTCAGACACTGCCTTGCATTAATACCCCTTTTTCATGAGTAGCTTCATATGATGTATTATGACTTTCATGTATCGTCGGTTTTGGTTTTCGAGTGGTTCGGGATTAATTTAGAAGAATGATTTTTAATTTGGAAGCTTTAAGTTGGAAGAGTTGATTTTACTTTTGTGTATTTGACCTTTGATAAGAGTTTTTGTAGTTCTGTTAGATTCGTGTGGTGATTTTGGACTTGCGCATATTCCCGTATTTGCGTTTGGATGTTTCTAGAAGGTTTTGGCTCTGATTGGTGAAGGTTGGCAGTTTGAAGATTTGGAAAGTTCATAAGTTTGACTGGGAGTTGAATTCGATATTATTGGGTTTGGATTGTTCTTCCAGGAGTTGGAATAGGTTCATTAGTCATTTGAAACTTATGTGCAAAATTTGGGGTGATTTCAAGTTGTTTAGACGTGTTCGGCGTAATTTGGAATTTAGATATTTGAAATAGTTTATTAAGCTTGAATTAGGGTGCGATTCGTGATTTTGATGTTATATTGTGGTATTTGAGGCCTTGAGTAGGTATTTGGTATATTTTGGGATTTGTTGGTATGACCTTACGGGGTCTCGAGGGGCTCGGGTGAGTTTCAGGTGGGTTTTAGACTATTTTCTTTCAAGCTAGTGTTGCTGGTTTTTCTGTTGTTGCTGATGTCCTTCGTGATCGCGAGGAACAAGCCGCGATCGCATAGTGATTCTTGGAGCTGGGAGAGTTTGTGTTTCGCATTCGCTACAGGGGCATCGTGTTCGCGATGGTTAGGCTATTTGGTGCTATGCGTTCGCGTCTTGATGTCATGTTTGCAAAGGTGTGCAGGCATGGCAGATGTTGTCTATCGCGTTCATGTGGGTGATGCCGCGAACACTTAGGCTTACTCAGGGGCAGTGCTATTTTCTTGTACATAATCGCGAGCGCCGTGTCGCGATCGCGATGCATGTAACTGGGCAGCGCTTATAAGTACTTTATTGCGGACTTTTAGCTCATTTTATCACATTCTGAATTTGGGAGCTCGGATTTGGGCGATTTTGGAGGGAATTTTCACGATTTGAATTGGGGTAAGTATTTTGACTCGGATTTGAATAGTTTGCATGATTTCATCTTGATCGGCATATGATTAATGAATCTAAAAGGGAAATTTGGGGTTTTTGTCGAAACGTTTCTAATGTGAATAATTGGGTTTTGAACATCGATTCAGAGTCGGATTTTGATGAAACTAGTATGGTTAGACTTGTATTCGAATGGGTTATCAAAATTTGTGAGTTTTGTTAGATTTCGAGGTGAGGGACCAAGTTGATATTTTTGTTGACTTTGAGTATTTGATTAAAGATTCGATCTTTATCATTTGAGTTTGATTCCTATGGTATTATTTGATATTTTTGAGTTGCTTGTGGCTAGTCTCGAGCCGTTCGGAGGTCGATTCGTGAGGGATGGCGCTTCTAGAGTATTGATTTGGCTTTTTTGAGGTAAGTATCTTATCTAAACTT